AGTCCTCTGTCTGGTATGGGCACCCCAGAATCCTCACTGCTGGTTAGCTGATTAATGGAGAAGATTCTCCAGGATCTGATAGGGGCTGAGCTAATGCCTTGGCTTCTCCCTTGCTCTATTCCGCAGCCTCCTGCTCTCATAAGGCTCACAAGAGGATTAGGAAGTTAATCCTCTGAGACATCAAGCTCCCTGTTGTGCCTGACCAAAAGGGCCAAAAGCTGTGAAGCACAGTGGGACACTGGCCCAAAGCCCCTTTCCTGCCAGGAGCAGCCCCATGGGTGAGTCCCAGCTGGCCCTGTCAGCAGCTTCCCCATTGCCACCCCCTTCCCCACCCGTCCCAGGCACCAGCCTGTCCCCGGGGCCATGGGAGCCAGACAGTGGTCCCACCAGGCTGGCTCCCTCCATCCTGCTCTGGCCTGGTTCCCGCAGCCTCTACGCACTGGTGGTGGGAGGAAGGTGAAGTGTCCTCATGTCCTGGCAGAGGACAGCATCCTGAGGCCATATGGGAAGTGGGAGATGGACAGAAGCTTTCTGCAAACACACCACCATGCTCAGCCCAGTGGGAGGGCTCTGGAGGTCCAGGGACACTGCTGAACCCCAGGGGCACTGGTATTACTGGAGCAAAGCTACGTGCCAAAAACATCCTCTTTTGGATGGTACTGGGCCATTTGGTATTCCAGGAAGGGTTGCTCCAGCTCGTGGCGAGGAAGCGTGCAGGCTGGCACACCGGTGTGCCACAGGCTGGTGGGCACCGGCTACAGACGGGCATGGAAGCAGCTGTACTTTCTGCTCCCTCTTCCCACCCAAAATACAAACTGTCTACATCCTTGGGAACCGCAGATGTAAAACCAGGGAGGAAATAACAGTGGCTGTCAGGGTTTGGCCACCTGCAGCCCCAGATCTGGAAAAATGATGTGGACATGTCGCTGCCTGAGATGAGGGATCCAGGGCTGCCCAGGCACCACACCTGGCCATGCAGATGCTCCTGGGTCTGCAGGCAGCTTCTGCTTTGCAGGAGTGTTTCTTCCTTCCATCTCAACCCTTTGAATCTCAGCATCTTCCCCTGCACCCCCAAGGTACAGCAGCAGGGAGCACCCAGCCCTAGTGCCTCGGCATCTCCCGCATTGCCTCGGTCCCAGGAGCGTGGGCCCCCTTGCGTGCACCCTCCAGGCAGGGGAGCGGGCAGGCAAGACAGGAGCTGATCAAACATCACTGTCAGCAGGGATCTCACCCCACCTTAGCCTGGTGCCCAAGGGAAACCCTCTCCCCCATCAGCTTGGCTGCCTTCAGGGAGCATCAGCCCTGGTGAGAACCAAGAGTGCTGTTCTTACCAGCCTCAGCTCTTTTAAGTACTTAAACCCTCAGTGCTTCCCTCCATGGGCCTTTGATCCAACTCCAAGGCAAGAATGGTTCTGCCCTTGGCAAATACCCAGGGAAACTATCCAATCCATTTGGAAGCACCCAGCGGCAGGGAAAGGAAACCTCCAATTGCAGTAACAGATGGGCAGGGGGGAAAACGCAGCAGGGAAATTTTGTTGCTTTTTGTACTCTTCTTCCTCACTCAGAGCTGAGGAGATGGGGTAGCTGGTCCTCCACACTCGCCCACACTGGCTGCATGCCATGGTGGGATGGAGGATACAACCGCTACCCGAGCAGCTCTGCAGCTGCTGTCCCCCGGGACTGCCCTGCAGGTCAGTGTTCTTGGCCGTTGGGGGTTGAATTGATTGTGGTGGATTTAAAACACTGCAGCAGTGTCCCAGCAGAGCCAGGGGACAGTCACCAGGGCATGGCGAGATGGCTGGAGGCAGTGACACCACCACGGTCACCGTGATGGTGAGGGTGGTGAGGAGCAATAGTGCTGCTGCCACAAACCGCTGGGACCAGAGGATCCAAGATGAGCCACAGGGAACGCGTGGGTGATGCTTTCTGGGCTGCCTGAGCTCTGCTCCTCTTCCTCCCACAGAGAGGACCCCAGGAGGATGAGGAGGACTTGGGGTTCTGCCACAAGAGCTGTAGTTTGAGTGAGAGCAGGTGGCTTTGCCGGCTAGGCTGCATTGCCCTTGCAGATCAGCCCCCCTGCCAGGTCTCAGCACACTGCTGCCTCCCTGGTGTGCCACCAGCCCTGGGGATGACATTTCTGCCTTGAGGGCAGTCAGCATCTTCCCCTGCTTGCTCCTAGTATGCGGACACTTCCAAGCAAAGGGAGGGTCAAAGCTGAGAAGAGGACTGAGGAGGAGGCAAAGAGAATGTTGTTCCTCCTGGCACTGCTAGTACTTTCTAGGACACCTTGCTTGGAGTTTCTGAAAACACCATTGCTTCTTACTTAAGATCATGAGGAAACTCCCCCTGGCATGCAGCCATATGGCAGAAGGAAAACCTTGCATGCCTTTCCCCAGCTGGGAAGTGCAAGGTGGGCTGGGACAGGCTCCCTGGCACAATGGGGACCCATTGGGGGCAATTCCTGATTTGTGTTCCCAGCATCAAATTCCTCCCAACTTGGTATCTCCGCCTGCCCTTGGCTCGCAGTTAAAGAGGGTGTGCTGAACTCAGCCCTGCTGCTGCTGCAAAGCCAGTTCATTACCTCCCTCCTGCCCGAGACAGAGCAATTCTGCTCCAGGTTGTCTTTGCAGCTTCACACGTCTGCTCAGAAATCTCCTGGCCGACCTTGGCCCTTCTTTAGTCCACGTTTGGTAACTTTCCACTGCTCGGAGCTCTGGCCTGCCCACGTTGGGGTAAGAGAAAACTGGTTGTGCTGGGCAGGAACCACTTCTTGTCCCCAGCTGGTTCCACCTGGTAGCCCACCGTTACGAGTGAGCGCCCAGCTCCCCAGCCCTGCTGCAGGTGGGTCGCGGGATGCACCAGCACGGCCAGGCTGGGCAAGACGCAGCAGGCAGGGCACCTCAGCACTTGCCTTCCCCCTGTCATTTCAGCCATGGCCTCCGGATTCCCGTGGCCCCAAATCACTTAGATATCCCCCGCCCCAGCTGTGAAACGGTGTGTGCAAGGTGTTAACTTGCCCTGGCATCAAACATGTCTCTGTGCCGTGGTGCCACAGTGAGCACCCTGCCCGTGTGTGGCAGCACACTCTTCCCCTGAACATGGGGTTGGGTTTACCCCATCTTTTACTTGTGGGCAAACCCCCAAGAGTGTTTGCAGCTCCATCCCTCGGACCGTGGTTTCCCCTGCCAGACTGGGGTGCAGCGGGAGGCGGTGATGCTCACCGCAGCCCCTGCCATGCTCTGTGCAGCCCAAGGACTGTGGCTCTGCAGTGACTGTCCTGTTCTAGCTTGGGATCCATCCCCAAAATTTGCACCTGGCCCTTTGCCACCAAGCCGGGGAAATCAGGGGACACAGCATTTTCACAGGGTCCGTGGGATGTTCCCACCTCATGCTTGGGGCTCATGAGAAGCAGGCTGATGTGACATCCTGCCATCCTTCCCCACAAACTGTGGCCCTATCCCTGTGTCCCGGGGTGCCTGGGTTGCCCCTGCACTGTATCCCCTTGCTGTTGACCCCAGCAGCGCATCGAGGCAGAGCTCACAGCCACACCATCCCAGCTGCAAAACTGGTTGAGAATGCAGCAGACCCACCCTCCGTGTCCTCAGTTCTCAGCTTCCCTGCGGCCAAGTCCTTGTGCTGATGGGATGGGGAGAACAACGACCTCCTCTTTTATAAGGAACCTTGAAATCTTGTTCCTTTCACTGCCTTGCCCAGATAAGCCTTCCCTGAGGGTTTGTTTATTAGGAAACTTCCCCCCTCTCCCAATCCCTGAGCTCTCCTTTGCTCTTGAACCCGGAGGAGAAGGAATACTGGAGCAGAAGCAGCTGTACCCACCTGGGGTTAGAAACCCATAAATGTTGTGCAGCTCCATTGACCAGGAGCTGCTGGGCTCCGAGCTGTGCCTGGGACCTGCTGTGACCCGGTGTCCCACCAACCCTAGGAGAAGGGGGGCTGCTGGCCTCGGCAAAGAAAGGGAGGGATTTGGCTGCTCCAGCTGTCGATTGGGACTGGTCTTGGCTTGACAAAAAAGTGGGGGGGACATGCAAGTAGGGGGACTTTGGTCAAGCATGACCAAGAAAGATGGCTATCAGGTGGGCATGCCATAAAGGACAGGTAATGGCTCACTATCAGATGCCTTTAGGGTGACCAAATAGCCGTGTAATGGGCCCTGTGCTGTAGTGGGCTGAGGGCCCTGGGGGTACAGATTGCAGACTGGATAAGCTACCTGGTAGTTCAACTCCCATCCATTATTTAAATGCAAAGGTAAATGCTTTCATCTTTTCAACTGGAGTGGTGCCGCCAGCTCAGCCATCTCCTGAAAATCCCATCCTGGTGGCCTGAAGGCAGGAGTCCCTGGGCAGGGGACTGCCCTGGACAGCCATAGCAGGGCAGAGAGGGCACCCATGCCCTCTTCGGGGGTGCCGCTAGCACCCCTGGGGACAAGGTGCAAAGGGTGAGTGGCAGAGTGGCACTGGGGATGTCGGACTTCACCCCACACCCTCCTCTCTGCTCTCCTCTGCACCAGGACCCAGGCTCTGGTGCTCTGGCCTGGTGGCCCAAACGTGGCAGCTTGTCAAGGGAGCTGGGCTACCTCTATCCGAAAGAAAAGTCTGTGTGGGTGTGCACGGACTTCTGCATAAGGAATTAGGACTCTCATGGCTCCTGTGAGGGAATTTCTCCTCCTGATGACTGCCTGCAGATTTAATGAACTGCCCCTCTCCCCAGCACAGGACAAGCCAGTGGGATCCCAGTGCTGATCCAGCAGAAGAAAACAGTCAAAACCCACCCTGTAAATACTGAGCATGTGCAGCCAGCATCAACATCTGGCCACATTCTGCTGGCGGCTCACCCTGAGCCTCCAAAACCCAGGGGGTGCGTGGCTCCATGATGGAGAGCCATGGCGTGGGGCCGCTGCAGGATCCGGCCAGAGCAGGCAGGGCTCCCCGGAGAGGAGAACAAAACAGACAGCAGCAACTCTCCTTCAGAGGTTTTCCCTTTAATGGTTTGATTTTTGTTTTGTACATTCGTAAAACTGTGAACAATAAATACTGTGTGATCAGCTTCCACCTCGCACTTGCCCCCCCCCCCCCCGGGCTTTCTGCAGAGGAGGGGACCGGGAGTGATGGGGCAGTGGCTGCTGGCACTGGCTCTGCTCACGGGAGAGCTGCCTGCTCGCAGCGCGGGCACCACGGAGCAGGGCAGCATCCCAGCTCAGGGTGGCAGGATGGGGTCAGGGACTGGGGAGGGAGAGGTGACTTGTGTACAGGCAATATCTCAGCTAAAAAGGGGTGAAAGGCAGCACTGCCTGGCAGTCTGGGCATGGATTTACTGCTGAAACCCAGGGCTGCAGGTCACAGAGCTCAGCTGCCCCTCTGGTGTCTTGGACCTCCAAAGTGCCCAAGTTCAGATGGAGATTTGCTAAGAAAGACAGCGCGATGCCTAGGGTGGGGAGGAGATGGGGCTCCTGAGTGGGTGGAAGGACCTACATGTTGTCTTGTTCCTCAGAGGAAGTAAAAACTGGGTGGGCAGGGAAGGATGTCATGGGAAAATGGGGCTCCAGCTTCTTGGCTGTGCCTATGGGTGCCCTGCTGTGCACTGGATGAGGGTCCCAGCATCAAAGATGCACAGAGGAGCTGGTGTAGGGGACAGTAGGGAGCCCTGAGATACGGGAATGGGGAGGTGCTGGCGTGGGGGACAGCGGCTGCCAGGGCCGTGTTGAGTGAGGGACCTGGGAAGGGGTGGATGACAGAGGTGCACAGGGTGGGAGAAGAGGCTGAAGGCTGTTGGGAGTGGGTAATGTGAGCAAAGTGCTTGGTATGGAGGGGGCTGCTGTGCTGATGCTGTTATGGCATCCAAAGATGACAGCTTTTTTCAAACCCACAAAGAAAGGCCCGACACCACCTCCCCTGGGCTCTGGGATAGAGGATCTTGCACCCAAGCTCTGGCGTCTGTTCTGGTTGGGTTTCATGACTTCCAGTTGAGCCTTGTGGGGCCAGTGCCATGCTGGGAAGCAGCAGGATGTGGCCCATCAGGAAGATCTGGAGCTGGCTCAAAAGGACCACGGTGCTGGGCTGAGCATCTCTCCCTTTGAATGCTTCCCCACCCCACACTTTTCTCCAGAGAGGAGACCAATAACTCCACAGGCTTGTGTGTCCTAAGCAAAATCCTTGAGTGAGAAATAAACTCCTTTGATGAGATGGAAGCTTTGTTCATCAAAGTACTTAGGAGTCCCAGGTCCCATGTGTGGGCTTGCCTTCTTCAGCCACCCGCAGTAGGACTGTCTACTTTGTGTCTAGAGAAAAGCCAGCATCTGAAGCTCCCTTGCTGTGTTGGGTAGGTCTCTTATTTGTGGCTTTGTTTGCTGTCCTCTTTGTCCTGTCCTCCTGCTCCCATCCCGGCTCTTCTCGTTGCAAAGAACAAGCCGCAAAGAACAAGCCACAGAAAAATCCACAAAGAACAAGCCAGTGAAGACCCTTGGTGCTAACAGGAGACCCCACCATCTCCTGAACAAGGTGTGTGGATGGGAGAGGAACGGGTGTTGGGATTTTCCAAGGCGAGGAGAGCACATTGTACCTGCCACAGTGGAAGGGAGTCCAAGAAATCCTGGTCCAAGCATGGGGACATGGTGAGCCAGAGCAGATGCCGCTCAGCAGGGTGGCAGGGGACAGGGAGTGCCCTGTGGTGGGTACCAGCCTGCCCAACAGAGGCAAGAGCCCCCGGCGAGCACGGAGAGAAGACGGCCTTTTGGGGAGGCCAGCATTCATCCCGCAGGCAGCAGGCCCCTGCCTGGACGGTTGGCTCTCCAGTGCTCTGGCTGAGGGGTGGCCAACTTGGGGCAGGCCAAGTTTGTCCCTTCACAGTTGTTTTTAAGGCCTTTGCCCCTTGAGCAGCGGGGTTTGTGGCAGCATCATCTCACCCGTTTTGCCGTCCCATGTGTCATCATTTGGAGGATTGGGACCAGTGCACAGGAGCTCATAGGAGCCGTAGTCTGCAGGGTTGGGGCCTTTGTTAGGAACGTGCATCGTATCTGCATGGGGAGAGGCCACTGGGGCAGAGGGAGGGAAGGTCCTTTTTGTGTAAAGACAAAAGAAGGAGCCGGACACTGGAGGACCAGTAGGCAGCAAGAAGTGCCCACAGCCCAGCAGTCCCCACACATGGCAAATGCCCTTGGCAGGAGAGCTCAGGACCCAGGTGTGGAGCTGTGGCAAGGTTGCTCCTGTGTTGTCTTGTCATTGTGGCTGGGAGGCTGTTCTTGTCTCCACAGTGTAGAAAGTCCTTGGCCTCTGGATCAGTCCAGCTGGGCATACAGTTCTGTTCTGTGACCCTCAAGACACCATGGGGCGAAGCCGCCGTGTCTTTGCTCTGCACAAGGTGACAGCCACAGTCTGAGCACAACCATGGCTGGACCGAGGCTTGGCCTTGCAGATGCCCTGTCTGTGGTCCCTCCCCTACCCACAGATCACGGGAACTGGGTTGTAAGTCCCTGAGTGACTCTGATGAGAGGGCTGGATGAGCCTTCTGCTGAAAGCCTGGTGCTTTTAGCAGTTTTCTTTTTTTTTGCCTGCTAGTGACTTCGCTTTCTAATGGAGCTCCAGGACCAGGGAGCTGAGGCTGTGGAGCATGCAGAGCCCAGGAGCACCAACATTGATGGTGGGGTAGGACAGGGACTGTTTTTTTATACCTTGTGGAATCATCTGGGGGAGCTAGCTGGGACCCCACTCAACGTGGCCCCAGGCAGGCAGTGGTTAAGCTTTCATCCATGTGGAAGAAGGGGGGGCGGAGAGGTGGGACACGAGGAAGGTGAAGCATGAGGTGGTCACTGAGATCCAGGAGCTATCGAGCAAGGTGGACTTAGGGGTCAGCATGCAGAGGGCTGTGGACACACACCGTGTCTGTCTCGCTAGGAAGGCTGCAGGACAGGGAGCGCTGCATGGCCCGGCAGCCCAGGGGCCCATCCTCAGTGGTCACTGGGAGCTGAGGGACCTGCGTGGTGCTGGATCGGCCATCGGAGCAGAGCAGGACACTGGAGTCTGCCTCGCACTTGGTGGTACGGCTATAGTAGGGCTCCATCACGTGCCGGAGCTCCAGGGGCATGGTGAGCGGCAGGACCTCAGCCTTGATTACAGCACCCAGGTGGACCTCAGAGGAAGACGCCCGGAGGCTCTCGGAGCGGCTCATCTTGATCAGCAGGTCGATAGTTTTGTTCTCGGCTTCGAGGAGGCAGTTTGGCAGTCCCTCCCCATCTCCAGCCTCCCCAGTGGCCACACATTTGTTGAGGGCCCCTTCGTCTTTGCCGTGGAGCTTCTCACTTCCCAGGCTCGTGTTGCAGGGCTCCTTCTTGGCCTGCTGGATCTTCTCCGTACCTTCAGCTGATCTCTTCACCGAGAGGTCCAGAGGCCCCTCATGGGGTTTGGTGGCTTTCTCCAGTGCCTGGTGGATGTGGTAGAGCTCCCTTCGAATTTTGACCAGCTGGTCCCTCAGCTCCTTTTGCCCAGGGGTGTCCTCCTTTGCCAGATCAGATAGTTTTTTCTCCACCTCTTGGTACTCTTCTAAGGTTTTGGACAGGTCCCCGATAAGCGCAGTTGTTGCCTCAGAGTCTGTCATGGTGGCAGAAGTCTCTTGGGGTCTGCTCTGCTTGCAGAGGCCATGGCCCAGGCCAGCACCCCCAGAAGGTGCAGTGTCATTGCCCCTCTCCGGTTCCTCAGGCTGGCCCGCGAGGACCTCTGTGTGCCAGTGGTCCAGGACCTTGGGGATGTGGCCAGGGTTGGCCCTTGAACCACTGCAGAGAAGAAGTGGATACAATCAGCAGGAAAAGAGATAGGAAAATCCTTGGGCATATATCCAGAGCCAGCACTGCCAGATTCAACCAGGGTTCCTCCACTGCCTGCTGCCAGCGTGAGGCCCTTCAGAGAAGGGCTTTGGTCTGAGCATGCAGAGCCCTGGCTGGACCTGCTCCTGGCATCGTTCTCCCAGGAGGTAGATGGACCCTGACACAGGCTATTTCGTGACAAATGGAGAGACCGGTCTGGGGAGATGGTACTGATAAGTGATCCCACCTCAGCTAGCCCAACCTGGATTCTTCTTCTTCTTGGAGCACTGGAGAATGTTGATGGAAATGACCATCCCACAGTTGGAGGGGATCTCTCCAGCCAGCCTGAGAGCAGGGAAGAGGCAGGTGGAGATAGAAAACCATGGAGAGCTTCTCCAGAGAAAGCTCCTCCAGGTGCCAAAAGCAGTGGGTTTTACAGTGACATTTTTCTTGGAGCCACAGCTGGACTTGCACAACCAGGGGAGGAACTGAAATTTTGTTAAAAGGAGCTGTGCACATTTCTAGCCCCAGGTAAAAGGAAATATTTGGAAATGTGACCCTCCTTCTGGGCTTTGAAACCAGAAGGCAAATCAAAGGAATGCAAATGTGTATGTTTAAAAATAAGCAATAATTGTTCCAGCAACCCTGGAATAATCTGGGGGCTCAAGAGGAGATTTCCTGGTGCCTGGGGAGCACAGGTCCACACCGCACAGACACCACATCACTTCTGTCTCTGTATAAAACAGGAGGAAGTGAGGGACAGCAAATGGTGACGTAGCCCAGGTGCTTGGATACACCTGAGGGCTATTCAGGTCCTTTGTTCCTTGAGAGCAGAAAGCCCTGCTCTGAGTGGGCATTGGTATGGACCACCAGCCTGGAGTGTGCTCAGCCCTTGGAGACTCATCTCATGATTCAGGGGCAAGTGGGGGGATCAGAAACATGATGGGATATGAAGATGATGTTTAGGGCCAACCAGATGTGAGGGAGAGGCAGAGAGATCACAGGTGCCTTACCTGTTCTGGTAGCTGGGTTTTCCAGGCATCAGCCTTTCGGGTCCCATCAAATCCAGCCCATTGGCAGTGAACTTCCTCTTCAGGGAGTTGCCTGGAGGGCTGCTGGTCTCCAGGCAGGTCACCACCGGTAACTCTGTCTTCCGGATGCTGCTGGGGGTGAAAGCGCCATCCTTCATCCCCACCATGTTTTGGTAGAGGTCAGTGGCTGTTTTTTTGTGTAGGTTGTTGAGGCCCAAAGCTGGGTTGCTTTCCTTCTCTTGGGACAGCCATTTCTCCTCTTCTTCCTGCCCCAGCATGACAGGATGGCTGAGCTCAGAGGCTGGCTCCTCTCTGACACTTTTGGACCAAGGAAAACCTGTCTTCAGAACTGGTACCTTCAGCAGCCCTGGTTTGGTTGGCTCACTGGGAGGTTTGGCTTGGGGTGGCGTGGGCATGACAGAGCCCACCAGCTGCTGGGCTTCTGGCTTGCTGGAGGACATCTTGCTTTCAGTGGAGCCAAAGGTGTGGTCGAAGAGCAAGGGGTAGTAGAAGCGGGGAAGGAAGGCTGACCGCTCGGGGCTCTGCAGAGGCTGGAAGTGGGAGGCATGTGGGTGCATCAGCTGGGCCGTGGAGGCCAGGAAGGGCAGCTGAGCCAAGTGTGGGTGTGTCGTAGGATTGTTGGCCATGGTGGGGCTCAGGTAGGAGAAGAGACTGGGGTTTAATGGGTAGTTAATACCCAACAGTGAGAGGTTGAGGCCCTGAGGTTCGTGGTATTCACTGTAGGCTGGAGGAGGGTAGCACGGAATGATGTTGCTGTCAGTACAAGGTGGGGAGACCTCAGGTGTGTTCCTCCTTTGCCCATTTGCCACCAGCTTCCACTGCTCCATGAGGATCCCGCTGCTGGCCAGGCATTTCTTTGGCACTTTGCAATGCTTTGGCTTAGCATCTAGGTCTGGGGAGGCCATTTCCCTGCTTTTCATGACATGGTTCTTGAGGGAGAAGACATCCGTGATGATGAAGTCGGGCTCTACCTCCTTGCAAGGCTTGTCCCTCTTGTTCTTGAAACCGAAGACCAAAGTGTTCACTTCTGGTTCAGCTGGGTCACCTTGGCAACCTGTCTCTTCGTTTTTCTCTTTCTTCTCCCCCGCATCCATCTCCCTCAACAGGCCAGCAACATCCTCCTCCTCCTCTTGGAACAGGCCACCGTCTTCAGCAGCCCCTTCAGCAGGCAGGATCTCCACCCCTGACATTGGCTTGTCCTCGTGGCCGTCCCTGCCAGAGGCCTGCTTGGTCCTAACCAACCCTCCCGACGTGGCCGAGGAGTCACATCTCTCCTGCTCGTCCTGCCGCCCGCGCAGGCGGGAGGTCTCGGTTGCGTGCAGGAGCCGCAGCTCTGGGTGGAGCAGATTGCCCTTTTTATAGGGCCAGTCAGACTCAATGAGGAGGGAGAGGGAGTTCTTGCACAGGCTGTACTTCATGTGGTTGTAGAGGTGGGACTTCTCCATGCAGGTGAATGGGCACTGGAAACATTTGTAGTTATAGGGCTTACCCCATGGCCGTGGGATGTAGTGAGGCTTTTTCGGCTTCCTCTCCTTGTGCTTGTAGACTGAGGTCAGCTTGCAGCCCAGGTCATCCTTGGACATGGTGGTGGGTGCCTGAAGATGGTTCCTTGTAGGAATGGAGGGGCACAATGTGTGAATCTTCCCACGCCTCTCTGGGAACCACTGTGTGCCCTGGAAGGAGGAGAGTATGGAGCTGGTGAGTTGTGCCTGCAGCTCCCTGGGGAGATGGCTCTGCTCCGTGGGCCCCTCCTGGCCCCAGGGAGCAGAGTTGCTGGGACCTCGGTCTGGAGATCCCGTGTTTGGGATTTAAACCCGGGCCAGAGATGGAAGTTTTGCCCAAACCCTATTGTGTGCCCGTTATTAACCCCCTTCTCTCAAACTGCCCCAGAGAAAAAGGAAAACAAACACTATTAAAGGTGTTGAAGCTAAACCACCTCGAGCTGACATTGAAGTGCCCAGGTGACTTGCCTGCCCAGCTAGAGCCTCCCTGGGGCAGCCCCAGCCCAGCCCAGGGACAATTTCCCTGCTGAGGAAAAGAAATGAAAGAGAAACCTGCCCACGGCCCCCAACACTGCGCTGAGCACAGACCTGTGTGGCTTTGCCGTCTCCTGGGGTGCCGCAGTGCTGGAGCCAACCGAGAGCTTCCAAAGCTCATCCACCAAAGCTGGTGCAGAGCTGGGCTAAATGCAGATACCTGCACATGAACATGCAGTCATGGTGCAAAGAGGACAGTCGGATGGACAGATTGGATGGGGAGAGGCTGCAGACTTACTGCCTTTAACCTGGTGGTGTTGCTGGAAACACGGTCCTGCCTCCCCGGCTGGGCAGGGCTGACCCTGTCCTGAGTCTCCATCCTGTGCCAGGACAGGGGTAATCTGGCCTGGAAAACCAATCCAGGCTAAAACACACCTCCCCACTTCCACGTGTCTTCCACAAGATTGAAATGTCTGGGAAACGTCCCCCACAGCCCCCCGATGCAGGGCTGGCCCTTGTGTGCTTCCCAGTGCAGCCTCCTTGGAGACGATGGGGTCACGCCTGTCTCTGGGAGCAGGCAGGGGAGCACAACACCCCAACTCCTTGCCTCCCAGAGCAGTCGGATCTGCAGAGGCTCCACACTCACAAAATTGGGCTCCTCCACAGATGCCCAAGCAGCAATCTCTTTGCAGTTGCAGGGCACCCAACACCGATACACGCACCTGCGTCACCCCTCCAGACGCTGCTTTGCCCTGGAGGGACTTGCCAGTTTCTTCTCCATTAGAACAAAAACCTGCATTTCTCCTGGGGAGGGCAGGGAATTTGAGGCCTCATTTTGTGTGAGCGGGGCTCATTTCTCAAGGGCCAAATCCTTCCCCCATGTGGCAGGTCCTGGGGAGACCCCGCAGCCAGGCTGGCGTGTGGCTGCACAGCCCGGGAAGGAGAAGGGGGCAGCCAAAGCTCCAGATTGCCACCGATGTGGCAGCTGGAGCCATTCGGGGAAACGATCCGCTCCCTGGCTTTTGTGAACAAGGAGACGAGTTTTGCAGGATAGGAAGGGAAAGAGCACTGGGGCACGCTGAGGCTTTGGGCAGCCAGGACTAGGAGCTGCCCGGGGGGCAGGTCCAGGCAGTGGCTCAAGGAGGTGACAGCCCCTGCAAAGGGCATTGCTCCCCACCGGGCCAGAACGTGCCCAGCCCAGCCCAGCCGTAGCCCACATCCTTCTGCACATGGCCCGGGGGGCTTCCCCATGGGGCTGGGGAGAAGAGCATTGCAGCTCCTGGCGGGGGACGGGCACAGCAGGGCTGAAAAGCTGTGATCAGAGTGGGATGGGCAGGGAAGGGGCTTGCGTGGCAGCAGCAGTGCGCTGGGAGGTGGGTTGCCGTGCGGCCCCGTGACGCTCCCCACTCCCCGGCGCTGGGTTGCACGCCTGCTGCAGACAGCTCCCCTCGGTGAGCCCACCTCCTTGGGGCTGGCTGCTCACCCCACAGCCCCCTGCTTCCTCCCCTGAGCATCCTGCTCCGGGTACACATCGCTGCTCTGGCCGCAGCTTGGAACACCGCGTGCCCTCCGGGAGCGGTGGCCCTGGGGGCGGTCCCACCAGCCACACGCCCAGGCGGAGGCTGCGCTGGGCTGAAGGATGCTCCGTGCTCTGCTACCCAGCCTCCTCACCACCAGCACTGAGGAGCATCACCTTCCCCTGGGAGCACTGTGAAAGCATTTGTGTGATGGGAGAGGGAATTACCTGCATAGGACACTTTCCACTTTCTTCCTGAGGTTTGTCATCAAATAGCAGAGAGTATCTCCTGCCTGCGATGGGGACAAGGAACAAGACAAGCTGTGGCTTCCCCAGTGTGGTGCAGGAGCCTGTGGGACAGGCTGAGCTGCAGGCAGGGTTTGGGGACAGCCCTCTGCATGCCCATGTGTCAGTTGGGCTGGAAGCTGACCCTGCTGCTAAGATCTGGTCTTGCAGAAAATAGGCAAAAACGTCCCCTAGTAATGAACCCGTGTCCCCTGGGATTTTGAGGGGCTCTCCAAGGGTGCAGACCTGACCTGCAGCAGCCAAGGCTGTTTTCTCCCGTTGCAGTGGGATGCACAGGCAGACCTCAGGGCCTCCTGCCTACAGGTTCACCTCAGCGAGTGACAGCCTGCCCACCTGCCCGGAGGGACACGCTTGTCGTTGAGCCCTCAGACACTTTCTGTGTGCGTCACGCCGGTGAGCCGTGAGAGCTCCGCACACCCGCTGTGATGCTCAGGGGAGCAGAAGGGATGCAGCAGCAGCTATGCAGGATGGGGTCCCTCTGAGCATCACTCCCTGGCTCCGGCCACCACGCCCGGGGTGCCCCGAGTATCCTGGATGTGGCTGTGCCCTGGTCCCCTGCCCCATCTCCTCGTACACCCACCCTGCTGCAGGGCAAGAAACAAAGAGCGGCTGAGCGGGGAGCCGGGCGCCTCGGCCCCGCTGCGATGCATTCCGCCTGTTTGCAGGTCAGTTGAACAAACATTTGCTGTTTATATGCCAGAGGCAGATTAAATCTTTGCTGGGAGACTGGAACTGGTTGTTCCATTCCTGCACACCTGATCCTCCTCCTCCAACGCTGCTGCGAAAGCCCGTTCGTTCACCTCCCGTGCCTGGTGATGCGGGGGACGGCGGGGAGCCGTCCTACACGGGACAGGCAGCTTCCACCTCCCTAACACTACAGAGAGGAACAGCAAGGAGAGGAAAGAGCAAATAAAAAGAAAGGGAGAGGGTGGGAAAGTGCCCCGTGTGTGATCCAGGCAGGCTCCAGCGGAGCGGAGGCATCCCCAGAGCCTGATCAGGCCCTGCGGAGCTGGGAGACAGGCGTTGCGGCTCCTGGTTGCTGAGCAGTTCCCGCACCAGCAGATCTTCGTGGTCTGCTGAGTCTCTCTCTGCCACAACACATTATTTCCAGTGGGCTGTCAGCTGCGGCGGTGGGGGCTGTGCCTGGGGGCAGCGCGTGGCGGGGACCGCGCACCTGTGCCTGGGAATTGCAGCATCCCTGCTCTCCTCCCCGGGACCGCTGAGGGGAGGGGGGGGGCACAGTCAGATGGAGGGAGTGGAGCAGCAAGGGGAGAAGAAAAAGAGGGAGAGACAAAGGGAAGGAAGAAGGGAGAGACACCCAGGAATGAGATCTGCAGTCCCCAGTGCTCCAGGATGCAAAAAATCCCAGCCCCAGACACAGGGATGCAGGGAAGTACATGCAACCATCGAGGCAGCTGAACTGGATCACACCAAGAGTCTGTCTAGCTCATGACTTTAATAATAGTCAAAAGCAGATGCCCAGGATGCAGGGCGAGTATCTGTGGTACTGCTCCCATTTTCCTAAACCCTCAGCCATCACAGTGCAGACCTATAGCAGCGCACGGCGGTGGCCCTCCCCACCATGAATCCGCCCAGGCTTCTCTGTGGAAATGTTCAGCCCCCAAAGTGTTCTGCGGTGGGGAGCTCCTGACACACTGTGCAGAGCTTCATCCTTCAGCCTGTTGGTCCCCACAAGTTTTGTGTGATGCCTTCCCCAACTCTTTGGCTGGAGGAAGCAGCAGCTATGGTTCCTGTCCACCCTCCCGCCATGTGGTTCACCAGCACACCCCTGCTTCACCATCTCCTTTCCAGGCTGAAGCTGGACATAGGGCCAAACCCTTCCAGACCTCTTCCCCTTCTCTGAGCCTCCTTCTGGTCTGCAACAGCCGTTTGCAGTAAGGGGCTTGGCCCGGCGAGTTTCCTGCACTAATGCAAACCAGCACTGCCACCGTCTCCACCCGTAGGTAGGCATACCCATGCCCACCACTTAGGAGAAGGAAAGACAAAAAGACTGCTGAAGCGCAGAAGTCTGGTTCAAAGACAGGTCGTCTTCAGCGTGTGTCCCCCTCAGAGAAGCTCTGCCACTGTGAACTTGTCCTGATCTGCTTTTGCAGAGCCCCAGGAGTTTTTCCGGCTGGAACACAGACCCCATCTCTCACACCGATGTCCTCCCTTCTTTGCCACTATCCTCCAAGTCCTCCAGTGCTGCATGTAGGCTGCCAGGGAGCAGCAGCGCTCCCATGGAAATTGTCTGCCCCCGACCTTTCCCAGATAGCTGTAGGACATGGCATGGAGGAAGGGGCTCAAGAAAGGCGCTGAAGTTCTCCACTCGGTGATGCTGGGATGAACCTGTTGCCTCACACCTCGTCTGCGGTGCTCCTGTGACCTCTCACCAGCCACAGGAGGGATTCTCACCCTGCACAGGTGGGAATTCATTTGCAGTCTCCTGCACCCCCCGACACCAACTGCAGGGACAAGTCTCCCCTGCACCTACATCCACCCAGCTGCTTCATTCTGGGCTGTCCAGGTTGCTGGTGCTCCCAGGGCTCAGCATCACACCAGTCTGTGTGGCCCTGGCGTCGCTATTTGTCAGCTGTCCCAGGGAGCAAACTGCCCTGATGGCCATACCAGGGTGGTACAGGGGGGAGCAGGGGGAAGGTGGCTTTTCTGTGTGACCTCACACTAACCCCGCAAACCATCCATTCCCTGCCATTACCCAGACTCTCACATTCTGGTGCTTCCTGTGGGGTTTTATCCCTTTTTCGCCAGTGCTGAGGCTGGAGCAGCCAGACAGGCATCGTGGGGAGGGAAGCGGGTGGCAGCGGGGAGCCACCGATCAATGCAAACCACTTTCCCTACACTACATGCTTTTGCC